TTTCTTGATTAAATTATGTTCATTTTGAAACTGTATTTCAATATGAATTATATACGAATTTTCTATACGTAAACATACATATATGTAAATAAAATTGACGACATGTTGCATTTTATTTCTACATGTGTCAGTTAAGTTCATTCATCCCCACATCACGTTCGTTTAAAATCATTCATTCAATCATTCATTCAGAAAGAACAATACACTCGCGCGTGCGTACGAGAAAAAAGAAACAAGAAAAAGAAAAGGACAAAAGAAAAGAAAAGGACACAAGTAAAGAAAGAAAGAAAGAAAGAAAGAAAGAGATAGAGATAGAAAGATATATAAATACGAGAATTAAACTACTCACATATCATGATGAGTTGTCACAGGGAAAACACAGCTTTACGAATTTGATCTTCACGTTGAAAACACAACACCTTGTATATTAATAAAATATTCTAATATTATTAACAAACAAATGTTCTTTTCTATTTCTTCAAGAAAAACAAATCCCTGCTGTTATTATCGTTAAAATATAGTTTTGTCTTTTACAACGTCACATATTATCGTTAAAAAAAAAAAAGAACACAGATATACATAATATAACGGGTGTTCAATGTACACCATATATCTATACGTATAGTTAAACAACAATAATAATAATCATAAGAAAACAATTAAATTATTTCTCTTATGTACGATTGATTCACAATATAATAAACAATAAGTATAATCAAACGAGATAATATAACTTTGAAGAGACACATCCGTCAAGTTTGACGGTTGAAATTGAACTGACGGGTAAGCGCGAATTTACATTACACTGTGTGATACGCTTAAGGTTAGAATTCTGAAAGTTTGAACGTCACGCGAGACCGCTCACCGTATTATATACGTGTTCAACTTACCTACATATACATATAAGCATGTATATATATATATATATGTATATACACAATAATATATATTGATGTGTTGGAAGGTAAGAAAACACACCACTACACATACACGTTTGTGTTTATACGCATACTAATAAAGTAAAGAAGAAAACGCGTGATATAAATTTCGTAAAAATGGAGCTTCCTGATTGGTCGATAATACTCGAACCAGAAGCCGAGCCTCCGAATGATAAAAGAAAAGCTCTGATAGGTCGATCAGATCGTTGTCGTCCTACATCAACGCGATAGGTCACGTGATTCATTAAATAACACGTGTAACTATTTCAAATGCTTTTTTTATGTATATATAAATTGTTTTTTATATTATTTCAATTTTATTATCTTCTTTCATATTTTTTCTTTTTTATTTGGTTCGTTCGTTCGTTAGAAAGCAAAAGAGAAAAAAAAATATCACGATGATTTAGATAATATTGTAAATTGAAATGAAATTTCAACAATAACTATACTACCAAGACCAAATTAGAGATGGATAAACTATTTATGAGATTTCTCTTATTCAACCACGTGTTTTCGCGTACTCATGTTATATATATATATATATGTGTGTGTATGTGTGTTTATGTATTATATATAGGATGTTGACAATATCTTGTTGATGAATCGTAATGCGTGCTTTGAGTAATTTTCTAAGAAGTAAACAATCAAAATGTACTTATAAAAAATACGCGTTTAGATTTTAGATAAACACTTGTTTTCGACAAATATCGTAGAAAATATTTTCTTTAATAAATTGATTAATGATTAACATATTTAATTAATATATTATTGTTTATCATTATATATAGTTTTTATTTTTAATTAATTTGAAATTATTATTATGCACAATTATTCATTTAAAAAAACAATAAAAACGTATACGAGGATTGATTGACAAGTTATGAGCCTCTTTATTTTTATTATTATTATTTATTTAAAAAAAAAAAACAACGTTATATCATTTGCTAACTTGATTATTTATTAAAATAAACTTTTATTTCTTTTTATAAAAAAAAAGGAATAAAATTTCATTGAAAATAGTTGTTTTTGTTTTTGTTTTTATGTTAGGCTCAAGACTTTTCAAATCATCATCCATATGTACAGTAAGAGACAAAAATACTTTATATAAAATACTTTATACAATACAACAATAATTTTGTGTCTCTTGTTGTTGTTTGCAAATTTTCTTTTATTAATTTATTATTATTTAAAACACTACTTGTCTAATTAATGAAATAAATATGAACAAATATAATTTACTCTCTCTCTCTCTCTCTCTCTCTCTCTCTCGAGAGAGAGAGAGAGAGAGAGAGAGAGAGATCAATGAACTACGCATGAAAATATTTTCGTAAGATAATGACGAATTTTATTGATAGTATTATATTCCCCTCTTTTTTTCTTCTTCTTATTTTTCTTTCATTTATCTTCTTTCATAGTATATATATATATATATCATACACACACATATATATATATATATATGTATGGTATAATTACGATAAGAATGGACGAAGTTTCGTGTTCGATGTTTACGTCTAAATTCTTACACAACTTGTTGTATATATTTCTAATAAATGAAACGATGAAAACAAACAAATGTGTTATTCAAGGTAAAATCATGTGAAACGTGTGATATGGTCATCAAACCACATTGACCACTGAAGTCAACACTCTTTGTTCGTGAAACATGTTTATATCGATTTATCGTACGATTCACATATATACATGTACATAGATGTGTTTTTCTGAACAAAAAATAATACATTGATAGAAGAAATTTCAACGATTTTCTCTAATCGTAAATAAGCACATTATTCTATTACGTTTATACATATGTGTGTACTTCATATATATATAGGGTGAGATAAAATTGTCATTTCCTTTAAAAACAAAAAACACTATAAATTATTCAGTACATTGTAATATTTTCATTTATTTAACATTTGTTCACGTAAATTATTCAAATTGTTCTTCATTATATTCATTTATTGTTAGTTTAATTATCAATTTACATATGGCGGAACAAAATAGAAAGAATTGATGTACAAGTTCTGTAAAAACTGTTGTTCTATTCAATTATTGTAAATCAACCAAAATTTGTGGTTTATTTAGATAAATTAGTCTCTGGAGGATAATTTATCTTACATTTATCTCACTTTTATCTCATCTTATATATATATATATATATATATATATATATATCAAAATCTTGTGATATATTTAGACAAATGAATTAGTGAGGGAGAATGACTTTTATCTCACCCTATATATGTATACATATGGTTGACTTTAACGTAAACATTTTTGTTTCATATCAAAATTATAAGCAGCTGCGCAATTCTTGATAAAATAAAAAGAAACTATCTGTAATAGAATATACAGAAATATTTGATCTCAACAAAATTAAGTAGATAATTGTATCTAGAACATGTTTTTTTTTTTGTTAATCTTATTATAAATAAATCATTTTATAAATTAATCATTGTATAAACATTAAACGTTCCATTTATTACATTATATTGTGTATAAATACATTTTTTTGTTATTTGTTTTTTATTATACAATTAACAACAATCAGTTTATTACAGTTATACAGTAAACAACTGATAATTGGACTGAGGCCATTTTCATATTACATGACTCATATGATAAATATCAATAATATGATTAATTAATTAAAGAATTTAATCTTTTGTGTATGTAAACAAATTATATAATATAAGAAAGAAAACAAATATGTTTCGGATGTGAAATAATAATTAATACATGTATGATGATTGAATAAAATTAAATTTTATAAATATCAAGTTCATAACTAAATTTAAAAATTCAAATTCATAATTCAATATCAAATTCATAAATAAATTTAAAAATTCAAATTCATAAATTCAATATCAAATTCATAA